AACGGAAGTTTCAGAGAGTCGTGTTCTGGGGACAAATCCCCTGCCTTGGCAAGAGCAAGAATGCTTGAGGGGGTCACACTGTCAGCCCCAAGAGAGCTGAGTCACTTTCCTTTAAGCTATTTTCAGTTTCCTCTGTAACCATCTCTAAAGACCAAGGCCAATATGTTACTCATTCCAGTTATCTTATCCTGAAGGTTAAGGAACCTTAAATATCTTTCAGATATTCTTTAAAGTCAGGGACTAAAAACTCAGGTTTCTGGTAAGGAATTCAAATGAAGAAAACATTCAAGATGTGTTTGCATTTACTCCTGGCACTAGCAAGAGCGCTCCAGGCAAATGGGACCTCCTGCCCCACCCACCAAGGGGATCCTTTCAAATTTCGCCAAGTTTCACCCAGTCCACTGGAAGCAACTAAATAAAGGTCAAGCACTCCACAATCATACATAATTGATGGCTGGACCTATTAAAGATGGGTTGCCAGAGTTCAGCATTCAGACTTAGAAGTATTTGTCATCAAATGTACTTTCATCGATTCTTGTTCAACTTAAACAGCACTGCACATAAAGGAGAGCAAAGGATCTTGGATCATAGTCAGGAGCAATAAAAATAACTTCACCCTGTTAAAAAAAAAAAAAGAAGACGACGACAACGACAGAGAAGAACCTGAGTAGTTACCTATCAACAAAGGCACCATCCTTTTATTGAAAATACACTCAACAATTATCCTATGAATGAATAAATGAATGGATGAATACAGGAAAATGTGATTGTGCAGATCTTTTCCTATAAGGAACAATCCAGCCTCTTCTCTCCTACCTGAAGCCCCCAGCTGGTCAGCCTACCCATGTGGAAGTGGTAGGTTCGAGAGATGATATGAAGCTCACGTGGCCCTGAATTGATTTTGATAAACTAACTTTTTCGATGGTTTAAAGATAACCAACAAAAACATTAACAATAAAACCTTGTCAGTTTCAAAATGCCAAATCTGTCAAAACAAAGCTATTTTCTCAATTAATGTAAGACAGCTCTTCTTCCTTCCTTCCCTGTCACTCAACACACACTCAACACGGATAATAAGACATTGCTTTTGCACACACATCCCATACCAATTTTTCTCCTCTCTGAATAGGTCAAAGGCAAGAAAGAATGAACACTAACAACGGTCACTTTTAAAGACTCTTTATATAGAAGGCTTCTTCAGCTGGGGTCCGTGAGCCCCCTAAGGAATCCATGGATGATTTCAGGTCTCTAAATCTGAACTTACATGTAACATTTTGTATATTTGCATATATGTATTTTTCTGGTAATAAGGTAGAGGATTTTCATAGGATTATCAGTGGCATCTCTGACATCAATTTAAAACCACTACCTTTTAGTGCGTGGTCTGCTTTTGGGCATACCTTTCCCGTGCAGCCATCAGGGAAGGAAATGGTGAGTGCTGTGTTTCCAGAGGAAGGGGAGACTATAATGAGCTGGGAAGTCTTCTTGCAGAATTCATGAAGCTGGGCCTTGAGAGGTCGGCATGAGTTGGGCCAGTGGACAGGAAGGGCAGGCATCTCAGGAGAGAGGCTAGCATAAGCAGAGGCAGAGTGGGGACGTGAGGCATGTTTAGGCAACGGCAAGCAGACCAACCTGGATGCACTGGCTGGCTCACATGGAGGAGCCCTGGGAGACACCCCAGGAAATGAGATGAAGGAAGACGTGAGAATACCAGGCCCCAGGGAGTGGCCCTCACCCTGAGGCAATATGGTACCCCCTCAGGGCCAGAGCTTTTTAAAAAAATTAATGGTGATGGGTGGAATGGATCAGGGAAGTGACCAAGCCTTTAAAAGAGGCTATCATAGTAGTCTAAGCAAAAGATGCCCTAAAATTAGGGTGCCATGTCTGTTCTGTTCACCACTCTATATCCAGTGTGGGTCCCAGGGCCTGGCACAGGGTAGGTGATCAGTAAATATGCAATGAGTGAGCATATGGGAATGGATTCTTAAAAGATAAGTAACAAAGAATAATGAGTCTTGGTGACTTGGTATCATTCACGGAGCCTAGCAGTGCCTTGCACAGAGTAAATCCTAACAAAAGATCTCTGAATTGGTCTGGACCAGGCTGAAGAGACATGGAGGACAAGAGTGGAAGACCCCGAGCACTCTTTGAGAGAGGCTGGGGACACGCTGGTTCCACGAGCATGAAGTGACTTCTCAGGGGACATGGAAAAGGAAACCAAGTCAGAGTGGTGTAACAGCAAGAACCATCTAAGGCAAGGTGAAAGACTTCAGTCCGGGTCCTGCCCTGCAAATGAATGTGCATGTGACACGGAGCCAATAACAACCTCAGAGGCCCTCTCGTAAGGAGCTTTCTACAACTAACCCATGGCCCAGCTATACATTGCTATGATTCTACACTTTCTCTCAGATAATCTGGGCAAGACCCAGGAAGCTAAAATCCCTAGCTCTTCCTTTCCTTGAACTCTATTTCAGGAAAACATATCCTAATACCTAATAGCACAGTACACACAGGCTGGGCTCACTGGAGAGCCAGAGGGTAGTTGTGATTCGAGTCCAAGTTGTTCTAAGTCTATGATCAGTCACCTGGGTAGCCCATGGCCTCGGGAGCATCACTGTTCACAATTCATTATGTTACAACAACAGAATGGTATCAACTTATACTGCCCTTATATCTACTCTGTCATACGCAGATTAAATCATACCACGGCTGCTCCTCAATCCTGAGGAGTGGGGACGAGGGGCAAAGGAAGAGGGACAGAGGGGCAGAATTTATTTTTACAATGACAGGTTAAAAAAAAGAACAGGTGGCTAGCGGGTCTTCTGCCCAACCAAGAACATCTGTTAATGATCACACTTTCCTTAAGTTACTTTCCAGTAAAAAAGAAACACAACTTGAACAAGTAAACCAGATAACCAAAATGTCCCCTAATTTCTTGTTATTTTTTCTTATAAGTAGCACCTGTTCACCATACTGGAAAATACTTCAAATCTGGAGAGCTTAAGAATGAAAGATAAAATTAAAATTAAAAAGATAAAATTAAAGCCCTCCCAGTAAAGGCTACCCAGGTCATCAACACCACACCGATTCTGTCTTGGTCATTTTGTTTCCATAACCCACGCTGAAAAGGTAAAACCTGGGGATATTATTCCAGGGTTCCAAATCAAGTTACACCTACAAAATGTTGGCTACCCAGTCATGACCTGTCAGGCTAGTACCCAAGACTCCAAGTGGTAATGTCCATTCAAGCCCCTGTGAGAGGTACCTAGATAGAATAACTAACTTTACAATGAACACTGGCTCTCCAATACTTGCCCTCCAAGCAATGCAGGATAAAAAAATATGGGGCTCTACACAGTCATAACTTAATCATTCCTGAAGTAAAGATACAACACATCTGGTGCTATATAGTAAGAATAAATTGTGGGCAAAATTTCAAACACAACTCTTTCCAGCTAGGGGAAGGGACAGGGCAACTGGGTCTTTGCGCGGCTAGGTCTACAGCCCATCCGTTTATTGTATTCAAATTTCCAAGCCCACAGTTTCCCTAGTCACACAGAACTACCACCAGCTGACCTTGGAACATGCTTGTTTGTTAGAGACAAAAGAGGTGAACAGTCCTCCCAAGTGACCCTGGAGATAAAACACGCTCATCCATTCATATCTTCTCCACCACATTTTCGTGAGGCACCAAACAGTCCTCTCAAAGATGAATGGTTTTAATAAGCTACTAACAGCTGGGTTTCCTGTGCAGTAAGAATTTCTAACTCAGGGCAACTCCGCATTTCCTCCCAGTTACATATGTCCTACACGGTTGCTTCAATGGTAAACAGCCTCAGCAACTCTCCCCCTTTACCTCTTTGTTGAATCCACAGCATTTTAGGATTGTTTTTGCAAAAGCCATATTCAAAGAGAGTCTTTTTCAAGCAAAGTACATGAACTTCTCAGCACACGTTGCGGTCTTTAAAGCAGTGCCTCTCAAGTCCCACAATGAATAGCCATTGCCCAGTGCGTCTGTGGTGATCAGGAGTAAAGCAGTTCTGCTTGCCCTTATAAATCTTAACACTGACTCTCCTAGCCCAAATGCATGGCCATCACCCCGGCATCTTCACCCCATATTTCACTGGAAAATGTTCTAAGTCAACAAAAATGATGTCTTCAGAGACAGAGTGCCTTAGTAAATACAGTAACCACAAGGGTCCATGTGCTCTACGGGGAAGGAGAGGGAGCCCAGGGAGGCTATGGGAGATCCTTAAGAAACATTAAGATTTGTCTTCAGCATTGCCTTCCTCTCATGGGGCAATGGCTGAGAACACTGGAAAAGTTGCATTAGTAAAACTGCATAGAGTCTACACTGCACAAAGTGCTTTGATACCAGTAACATGATCCTCTTCATACTTCATCTTTTCAATACATCTTGCAAGGTTTGTTTTCAAAAAGACATTACAAGCCGGCAAGCGTCTGCTTAGAAAAAGCAGTCAAATCCTTTCCCCTTCACCTCTATGAAACCCATCATATTCCTGAGCTTTAAAACCCTCAGATAAACCACACAGAGGCAACTTAACCCTCGGGAGTCAACAAAGGCCAACATTCCAGTGTGTGTTCAGGCAATGAAAGAAAGACTTCTGCAGGTACACAGCATTGAAGACTGTTTGGAGCTGTTGACGATCTGTAAAAATATGTTCAAGGTTCTTTCAACAAAAGATTTCGATTCAAGCAAGATCACAGGGAAGAGCGAGGCCAGCGTCTTAGCTGCGCCTTTGCACGTGTCTCGTCTGCTCGGTTTTTGCGCGTGACTGTGGCTGTTGTTGGCTGGATATGCAATTCCTTTGCCCTCGAATCTTCTTCATACGTGGGAAGCACAATCAAGACCAAAATGCTGTGTTTATGTCACAGCTCTTCCAAGAGGTTTAAAGCGCCGAATGTTACCACATGAATCCTCACAACACCCCTGTGAGGTAGGTAGGTGGAGAGTATTGTCAGCCCCACCTTACAGGCGGGGGAAATGAGGCACACAAGAATTAAGGGACTTGCCCGAAATCACACAGCTAGTCACTGGCAGGACTGAGAAGAAAACTTGTACTGACTAGCACCTAGCACAGTGCTTTGCACATAGTAGGTGTTCACTGAATATCTATGGATTTTATTTGAATTATCTCAACATACAATACACACACATAAAATACAAGCAGCCACCATAGAACATTTGTCTCCTACATTTCTCCTGATGACTTCGCTCATTACTTCGAACCCACGTGGATGAAGGATGCTCGAGAATCCGTCTCACAACTAAGCCCTCGGGTTGAAGAGGATCTACATAAACACGACCCACAGACAACCTGTTCTTGCACCTGCTCTACCACACAATGTTAGTTTTCTAATGAAAACGAAAATGGATTTCAGGAACCATGCTGACTTTTTTTTTTTTTTTTTTTGCCTGTTTGTTTTAAATGGAGCCATCTGAATGGTTCTGTGTTTTGTTTGTACAAAAAGAAATAAGGCTGCTAGAGTCCAGTTAGCTTGTGAGAAGTGTGCCAAGCACGAAGATCTCCTCCCAGCTGAGATGGATTTCTACCTGGGCAATTGGACCAACCCCAGGGTGTGGCAGCTCCGGCAGAAGAGGGTCAGCGAGGCTGAACATCACTTGCACTGTTCGTGGTCCGTGTAGTCATCCATGTCCACGTCAGAATCAAAGAGCGAGTGTCCAGTGAAATCCGTATCTGGGGTTCTGGAAAAACTGTTCTCTGCTCCCTCATCTTCAAAGGTCTCTGTCCTTGAGTAAAAGCTGAAATCCAGCAGGGGTGTGTGGGTTTTGCTGCCTTCGCTGCTCTCCTCAGACTCATAGATGGTGTTGTCATCATCGTGATGCCACTCGGGCCAGAATTTCCTCCTTATCCTCTCACAGTACATGGCAAGGTTGATCAGCTCACCTGTGGGGGGGTGGGGGGTAAGGAAAGCCAGGGTTAATTCTCAAAGGCAGCAGTCTCTCAGCTAGCCACTTGGCCCAGGGAACTGGGAAGAATATGGTCGGGGAGACGTTTACAATGTTTTTCCACAGAGGGACCATCAAATATTTAGGTTTTCATGCACATAAGAAGAAAGGTGAGCGGGGAAAGTTACATTTGTGAGTGGGCTGAGTGAGATTTAGGAGAGAGTCTTATGGTGATGAGGGGAGGTCGGTAGTTTATCCAAAATGGCAGCTAAACTACCATCATTTGGCTGTGTAAAGCATTATAATTTTATGTTTGCTTATCAACAGAACTGGTGCTTCGATGGTTCATATTTAAATTAATTTATAGCCCATGAAAATACAGCAACGGTTAGTTGGGCTAAGTCAGCCAGAAGTAATCATTCATTTCACAAATATTTGTAGTGTTATTAAGGACTGGGTACTATGCCAAGTAGTTGGAAAAAGGTATGTTAAGATGTAAATTTTTCCCTAAATAATCCTAAGTAAAATGGGTAACTCAGAACTGTCTATGGATGAGTGTGCCCACAGGCGCATTTAGTAAAACAGGTATTTTTTTTTTAATTTTTTTAAATAAAACTGAACAGCTACACCCATAATTACATTCCCACTCACTGGGCTACTTCTTTTTCATGCGAATCAAAGGAACGCTTTTGTTAAGTTGCTAAAATTGTCCAAGCATTTGTCCGAAACATGACACAGAATTTGACATTCATTTCTTAATTCCCAATGAAAAATGAAGAGAGTGAGTTTTTGCCTTCGATCCACCAGATGGCAACATTGCTTACAATACATAATTTGTCACTATCCCTTACAGAATTTCATCGCCCTAAGAATATTCTTTGGATGTTTGTTTTTTAAAAGTCATATAAACATCTACTTATTATATAGATGATCCATGTTTTATTGCAGAAAATTAGAAAGTGATGGATATGCAAAAAATAAAAGCATTACCAATAATCACATCCACTGTAATAACATTTTTATGTTCTTCCGGAAATGTATATACTTATATACACACTTACATATATTTACACTTCCTATTTAGCATTTACTATATATTGTTTCTTACTCTACTTTTTCCCACTTGACAAACTATAATAAAAAACTTTCAATTTCACACTATCACCTTGATAACTGCACAGTAGTTCATTATTCAGATGTACCATAGTTTCATTTTGTTTTTACCACACCCCCTTTACGGCCATTTCGGTTGTTTCTATATTAATGCATCTATTGATTATAGTCTTTATTTTATTTTCTATCAAAGAATATAATACATTCTCATTTTGGAAAATCAGAAGTCTGTATATAAAAATGTATACCATTTAGATAAGGAAGAAAACAAAAGGCACCTATCAATCTCATCAAGGTCATCACAATTAACATTTTGGTGTAATTTATTTCAGCATATTTTCTATTTATTTATTGTCATTATTACTACTTCCTGTTACTTTGCATAACATTATTATATACATTTTCCCATGAAAATTTTTCAAAACTTGATTGCTGCTCTACTTCAATAAGCCTGTTCCCTATAAAACATAAAGAAGCGAATCCCTCTACTCCATGGACACTAGAAACCGGTGGATTAATATTGGTTCCAGGTCACTATTTTCAGTTGCCTTATATCATCACAGTTCCACTCACACTATGTAAGAGTCCATTCTGGTTGCCCCCTACTCGGGGATTGTACGTACATACACGCCCAGGAGCCAGAAGCCGAGGAGCCAACACCCGTGCTCCTTGAAATGATGCAGACAAAGTCTTCGCTTAGATTCTCCCTCAGGGAAGCAGTCAGGAAACCCCTCACCAGATAGTGCTGCCAGTCCCAGGTAACCCAGACTTGGACAAAGCTGTGGAGGCAGCTGCCAAGTTTGGCCGGTGGGGCGGGGTGGGGGGGGGTTATGGTCACTTCACAGCAGGGTCTGGGGCAGCTGCGTTTGCCTCAATCAAGACCATTCGCTATGAGGTGGTTAGTGAGCAGCTAGAAAGCCAGAACCTATTCACAGTATCCACAGGATCTACCCCATACATGGTTCTAGCCACTTCTTCTGTGGCTGTTTCTTCTACTGCCTGTTTCCTCACTTTTCTTCCAGGAGAGCTGCCCTGCCTTCCTCCTGTGTGGCGTGAATACCCCTTCAAGCGTGCAATAAAAATTAATAATAATAACAACAGCAAATATGCACATAGTCCTTACTGTGTACCAGGCACTGTTTGAAGTGCTTTATTCATCTGTTGAATTAGTCCTTGCAACAATCTTATCAGGCAGGAACTATTATTATCCCCATCTGTCATGGGAACACTGAAGCAACAGAGAGGTTAATTAACTTGCCTAAGGTCACATGGCTAGAAAGTGGCAGAGCCAGGATTCAAACACCCACAGTCTCCAGACTCCATGCCCTTCACCACAAATCTAATCTCTCTCTCTCTCTCTCTACTGATGAGCCGACAGCCTGGCTTGGGAATTAATAGCTGCATACGCCCTGTCACAGAAGATTGTTCTATAATTCTTTTCAGGGTCTCAAGAATTATGAGGAGACAAGTGCTGCCCCTCAAAGATAATGAGTTGTCAAGAAGAAGTGATCATTCTATTATGCAGTCCAGAAAGGGATTGCTTTTGGTAAGCAAAAACTGGGAGCCCACATACCCATCCTCATATCCTCCCACTGATAAAAACAGTGGAATAAAGAATGAAATTTTCTGGGTGAGTTCTACCCTGTCTGGCTTTGCCAATCCCTTCTGTCCCTGACCCACTCACCATGCTACCAACCAAAAGAAGAGAAAAAAGTTGGCAGTAGAAACAGGCTGTGTGTGTGTGTGTGTGTGTGTGCGTGTGTGTGTGATATGCCTGTGTTAACATAAATGCCTATGTTGAAGGTGTGAAGCTTGTGAAATAATAGAAAAACTGCATTTTTTTCAAAGTGTACTCAATAATCAGATAACAACCTCATACATCAAACTAGTAAAAATTAAAGTCTGATAACATCCAATGTGAAGGGTCAGGCATTTTAACTAACTACATGTCTGGTGGAATTATAAATTGCTATAACCTTTTTTGGAAAGTAATCCAATGTCATCTGTTGAAATTCTAACTGTTGGCTCAGAACTCCACTTTTATTTCTCTATTCTACTAAAATAAAAGCACCGGTATGCAAAGATATATGTATATGGATGTCAACATCATTGTGTCAGTAAAAAATAAAGAAGAAAAGAAAGATGAAAATGGCCTGAATGTCCATCAGTAGGGGTTGACTGAATAAATTATGGTGATTCAATTCTATATATTTTGCAGCTGTTAAAAAGGCATGATATTCTCGTAAGTGAAAAGAGGGAGTTATAAAGTAATGTGTATAACGCCATTCCACTGATTAGTTTAAAAATAGTAAAAACAAACCAAAACTACTATATACATGTATGTAAATTTGCACATGAAAAAGAAAGGCACAGAAAGATTCATTCCAAATTCTTAATATTGGTTATTCCATGGGGGTGGATATTGGACATGGATGAGGGGGAAGTCATAAATCTTTTAAAATATTCCTGTATAATTCAACTCATTTTGACAATCCTGTATTTTTAAATTTAAAGTTCCAATAAAGTACATTACTGAAATACTAATGAGTGGTAAGTGATAGGCTCAGACAGCTTGAGAGGCTATTTATCAGAAAGCCAAACGGTCCTCAACCCAGAGGTCACTCCCAAAAAGAATAAAGAGCTTTTCTCTTAGTTTCTCCAAATGGAAATATCCCCCACCGCTCTTTGAAAAAAAAGTGACTCATTTTATTTTCCTGTATCACTGCAATTTCTCTAACATTCAAAAACATTTTGTACAATGTGACACTGAAAACATTGTCAACCAGGCCCAGAACCCAGGGCTCAGTTTCTCCCAGCCGCCAATCGTGCACAGCAGGAATGAGAGGGAGGGAGAAGTGACGGGGGGAGCCTGCCAGCATGTCCCAGCTCCCCCTGCCCAGCCCTCGGTCATTAACCATCAAGTTTTTGGAATACATGGGGCGGGCACCCACACGAACTCATCTGGTCTGCAGGCATTTACTCGGCACCTCCCTGCTGCAGACCTGTGTGAGGTGCTGGCCATGCCCATGCTCGCTCTCTTCAGCATTCTGTCACAGGCAGGGAGGGCACAGAGCATGTCCTCTTCCAGAAAAGTTTGAAACAAACTTGAATGGTGCGATGAGGACACCACCTTCCCCTCATCTCCTGAAGCTAAAGGGTACTGACTCAGAGATCACAAAGTACAAATACCCACAAAAGTCACCTGAGCCAGCCCCTCCCTAAGCCCCGAATGCCCCACAGCCACCTCTTCCTGAACATTCCTGATGGAGAACAGTAAGTGCAGGGGTGGGGATAGACTCAACTGTTTCTCAAGGATATCCAGCACTTGATTGAAAGGTGGAAAAAGTTATCAATCAGTCAGATAATAAGCAAGAAAAGACATCCAAGAACAATAAATAACTGTTGGTAAAAGAGCTCCTGACTAAAGTTTTCCAGAAGCACACAGAAAGTGTGGTTCTCACAGATACCGAAAAAGAGCATGAGGTTGTGCGGCTCTGCGGTGACGCCACCTGGCGGGCGGGCACGGGGCACAACTCCTGCCCGTCGGGTGCTTCTGGTCCGGTTTTCTAGGCTCTGCGGTTCTCCACGCCTGTCTCAAAAGAGGGCCCTGATCCACGCACAATTCTCTGAGAAGGACTCGCTGAACAAAATGTCAAATGTCACTTGGCGACCTTGCTGATAGTAACACTGAGATTTTTTTACTGGAAAAATGGCAAAAATTTCAAAATAAATATTCGATCCTGAGGAATAAAATTTGAGGTGCTTTCAGACACTGCTCATGAGAAGACGCACGGCTACAAGTCTTCCTAGAAAGCAATTTAGCCATACAGACCAAGAGCTTAGACCTTCTGAGACAGAAATTCCCCAACTAGAAATTTGGCTTAAGGAAATAACCAGAGATTAGCAAGAATATATTTTTATACAATATTCACCAGAGAATATTAGTTAAAAAATTATGTGAAACAAGCCACAAGTCCAGAAAAAGAAGATTAATCACATCAATTACAATGTAGCCATAGGATAGGATATTATCCAACTACTAAATATGTTGTTTTAAGGCATATTTAATGACAGGGAAATGGCCAGGATACACAGTTAATTAAAACTATAGGTTTATAACTATATCAACATCATGATCCCAATTTTTAAAAATAAACACATACATGTACTTGATGAAAGAGGAGGACACAAACCACATAATTAACAGTAGTTCTCTGTGGGTGACAAGGGGCACAAGTTATATTTTTTAATTTTTCTATCTTTTCTAAATTTTCTCCAGCAAGGAAATAATATTTCATATATCTACATCTATAATACACAAACACATACTCAGTATATTTTAAGAATTGCTGAATATTCAAAGTCTGTCATCTTACTCACCTAAATTAAGGAAAATTTCTCACTGTTTTAGATGGCTCCGGTACACTATGTGGCTAGATACTGTAACTAATATCTAGAACCAGAACACTCACACACTTACACATGCGGCCAGGCCAACAGCGCTCTGACCGTTCCAAAGCTAAGGCAGAAAACTGCCTGATCCAAGCATTCACGCTCCTGGATTTGAGCCAGTTCTAAAGCCTACAGGTACTTAGTTGTTTCTGCTTCTCCTTCCTCTTGTTACTTCTTGGGCAAGTCTCCACCACAGAAAGAGCAAAGGCGGAGAAAGAAGCAGAAACCAGAGTAGTAGTTTGCCTATTAGCAGCTACAATCAGAAGGTTTGGAAGGGCATACAACCAATGACCAAAATGTGATTTAGAGACCCTCTGTGGACTTTAATGATTCATGCTACACCAGTCCCCAAGGAGAGCTGGAAGCTGCTAACTTGTTTAAGAACCAAAGTACATGCAACTATGTGCCAAAGTCCCTCGCAGACAATGGTGTCAGATTCCCCCAATGTGTGGGTGGGACTCAAAATTGATCCTCCAAAAAGGCTGACCCATTTCTTTAAAAAGAACACTAAATGTCTCGAGTCCTTCCAGGAAGTAGAAGTGAAAAGGGCCAAGTCATAAATAATTTAACAAAAGATGCTTCATTCCTGCAAGAAGGGATTCTAAAGAATTTGATAGTTCTACTCATAATGGGTACCTAAATGCTTCTGACTCATAACAGATGACGTCAGCCGTGTGTGTTAGCGCGCTTGCGTGCATGTGTACAAGTGAGTGTGTTCGGGGTATATGTGTATAGAAGTAGGTGAGGAGATGTGGCAGTGTGTGTACTCATGGGTGTGTAAGAGTGGTGTGCTAGGGAAGTGGAGGGAGGGAGTAGGAAGAAACAGGAATAGAGTGTAGATATAAAACATACCTCTAAATGAACTAAAGGGAACCAATATATTTTAGATGATTAAAATGAAGAGAAACTATTTTAAATGCTACAAACATCACCAATAGGATAACATGTTCAATTTAGGTAACTTCCAACATATTGCAAGACAAGGAACAGCTCTATGCTGATCACATAGGAAATTAAATATTAGTCCATACTATCCCGAGTTTCACCCAGTTGAAGTTCTGGAAGACCTTCAGTCAATGCCTGATCCATTCCAACGAGGTTTGGTAATGTATCTGAAGTCCCATCCCCACCAATAGGAGAATCTGGAGAATGATTCCTCCTGTCCTTAGCCTGGTCTGAGCTTCTGGGCATGCGCATGAATCACACACACACACACACACACACACACACACACACACACAGAACTACAGCCTTCACCAACCTTCCTATCCACCCACCTGTGGCCACCACACATGAGTGGTGTTCACCTGCCTCAGTCTCTTGTATGATTCTGCCTTGCTTAGTTCTGACCATCGATCCATCAACATTAAAAACATTCTATATGCTATTCACTAGTGATCTCATCTACATCCCCAGCCTTCTCAGTTGGGGCATAAATACCTTGTTCAACTCCATCACTCCCTTTCCCAAACCCAAATATTGGACTTTGATCCCTATATCCCCACTCCCAGGCACTTGCTCGGTACTTCTTCAAACTGGAGATGACTCGGGGCATGTGGGTGGCTCATTAGGTTAAGTGTTTGCCTTCAGCTCAAGTTGTGATCCCAAGGTCCTGGGATCGAGCCCTGAATCAAGCTCCCTGCTCAGCAGGAAGTCTGCTTCTCCCTCTCCCTCTGCCCCTACCCCCACCCCCCGCTCCTGCTCTCTCTCTCGCTCGCTCTGCTCTCTCTCAAATAAATAGACAAAATCTTTAAGAAAAAAATTGGAGATGACTCCAAACAGTTCCCATCTACCAACACAGGAGAAGCCTCTCCCAGAGGCCCAGCTTCCATGTACATCCCACCCCGCCAGTCTGTCTGCCAACGTACATACACAAAGATCTGGTCCCTTGACATCGACCCACGTTGAGCTTACCTTACCTGCCCCCTTGCCAACATGAATTTTATTCTTGGCTTACCACTCCCTCCACCCCTCCACATATATTCATTCCTCCTCTATGTCTGGTCCCATTCATCCCCACTTCTACCCTCCAGTCCATAATGTAACTCTGGCAGGTCTTACAGCCAAGATCATACTACAAAGATGCAAGATTCTGTTTCTTTGGCCAAAATACACAACAATTACTACTACTAATAATATTTTACATAGTATCAGATTTACAAAACATTTGTTGACACTTCCCCCATTTTTCACAATCTTGAACTTACTAGCTTTACTACTCTCAATGTATAATCTACAGATACCCACTGGAATAGGAGAAAAGAACATTTTGAATTCAAATGATACGGAAACATATGTACTTATAACTACATGTGAAATATGTAACACCTGTTCAGACTCAAAAACAGCATCGAGATGGGCAATGTGTCCATCAGCCCCAGCCCACCGCGTTTGCTGCCGAACTAGATAGATCAGAAAGTGGTGAGGCTTGGCACCAACATCCCAAGGAAATTAAGGAAGACCAACAAAACAAGGGCACTAGGTGGAATTTAAGCCCCGTATCAACAAGTATTAAGTCCACTATGTAAGGAGCTGGTGTAATACACCATACAATTTGTGTCAACTTTGTTGAGGACACAGTCCAGGCAAGATGGCAGGTGAGAAGCCTGGTCTTCCTCAACCCCTCCCCATCCTGAGCATAAGAAACTGACCCCAGCCCTGGACACCACAGCCTGCTGTCCCCATAAAGCACAGTCAAGTTCACAGGCATTGACCCAGAATTCTCCATTGTGTTACCCCTACCCTTCACCCCACAGGAACTCCTAAAGCCTGAAGGGGTTTGTAGGGCTTGCCTTTGATCAGCCGCTCAGGTCTTGTCCCAGGTAAGGTCCACATTGCCTGTGCCAAGTGTCCAAAGACAGTGGCGTCGAGAGTAGAAAGCTTGGGGCCCATGATGTACTTCTTATCACCTGCAGCAGACAGAGCAGAGAGGTCACTGTGCTGGCCTGCACTGCCCCATGTGGTCACCATGGCGTTCAGCACTCTATAGGTTCATTTAACTGTGTGTCAAAAGCTTTGCAGAGTCAAAATGCATGCACCTCCTTTTTCTTAAAAAAAAAAAAAAAACAGAAACAAAAGGAAAACAAATTAATTCTGTGTTGGATCAACCCATACAATAGCCAAACAGGGAAATAACAGGCAACATATCAAGAAAAGCAGGTAAGGGAGGAGAGTTCATGGGGAAAAGGGAAATCTGATCACCCACAGACCTCTGAAGGCACCTCCTTGTCTCACACTGTAGTAATGAAAACTTGAGATGCTTGAAAACACCTGGAAATTTGCTGAACCCATCTCAAAAGTAACCCACACCAAGCACACCAACCTCAGCACTTATTTTATTAAATTAAAACATCTCCTCAGGAAGAACTCAAGAAGTCTAGGCTACGTGGCAAGGTTTTCCATGCTGCACCATGGTCTTGGCAATGTCCTCACCACTGAACACCAGCTTCCACAGGAAGAGAAACTATGAAACTACAGGCCCCGCCGTGCGATCGGGTTGTCGCACAACGATGTGTCGCACTGCTGCCCCCATCTCTCCTTTTCCATCGCTACTGAACTAGTTCAGTCCTCATCACCTGGACCGTCCCCTGTGACCCATTAACACTGTCCCAAGTCCGTCTCCCGAGCCACTGGCAGGCACCGTAGCAAACAGAGGCAACTCGGGTGGAACTGGGCCCACCTGGTTCACATCCTGGCAACACCACTACTCAATGTGGGAGTCTGGTCGGTACTTAAGCTCTCAGAGCCTCAGTCTGCCCATCTGGAAAATGAGGATGATATTAACGGTGCTCACTTCTCAGGGCTATCATGAGGATGAACGGCATCATGCACATGAAGCACTTAGCACCATATGTTGGAACCTCAAGCATTAGCTTTCATGATAGCAGCCCCTCTGTTTCTCCAGCCCATTCCGTATCCCACCTGACTTAAATCACTACAGTGCTCTTTTCACCATGTCACTCCCCTTCCCACAAATACCATCAATGGGCTATGAAATGGGTTAGGAAAGAAAGTCCAAACTCGGAATTCAAGGCTCATTATGCTCTGCCTCCAACCCATGTTCCGGCTTTCTCTGTCGCTCCTCCCTTACTCTAGCAAACCTGGGGAACACTCCCATTCCCCAGCACACTTCATGCTTCCCAAGCTCACATCTTTGCCCAGGCTGCGCCCACCCCTTTCCCTGCCCCCCACACCCTGTATGTGCTCCCCACTTCTCTCATCTGGTAAATTCTATCCATCCTTCGAGATCCAGCATGAGCCTCGTTCCAAAGCTCTCTCTGTCTATTCTATCTGGTGGTAAGGGAGTCTCAGTTCAGACAGCCCTGTGTTCAAATGCCGCTATTACACATAGAACCTTGTAGAACCGTAAGGCCTTTTATGCCTACTAACCTCAATTCCTTGAACCATAAAATGGGAGGAATTGCTGGCTGTTTCAGCGAGTAAGTGAGGTGACTTAGGAGAGCACACAGCAGAGAGGTCTTGCCTCTTGTAGCCCAGTCTCCATACTGTGCTACGTGCTGGTTGGTTTTTGCTTGTTTGTGCATTTTATCTTTTCAGCTAAATGGTAAGTTCTTTGAAAGTAAGAATAATTTCTTATTTTTATAAAGCAAACTCTAATGCAATGTTTACTACATACCAGGCATGATTCTAAAGGCTGTACTCTCAAAATATCTACCCATTTCACTGTTCTTGAGTGGCAAGCTGACAAAATTAAGTATCTGATGACTGTGTACAAACAAGCTAGGAGAAATGGCTGGAGTTGGGGATGCCAGTTAACGACCAACACAGCACAATACCAGCATATGGAAATGTATCAAATCAACATTTTGTGCACCTTAAACTTACATAATGTTTTATGTCAATTATATCTCAATTTTAAAAATAAGTTGAAAACAACAAAAAAACAACAACAAATGGAACTGGAGATTACCTTTAAAAAAAGTCATTTCTATTCTATATTCTACAGGGACCAAGGAATTCCCTACAATATGCTGAACCTAACCAAACTATCTACTCAGGTAAGGACAAGCAAGTTGTCCATACCTGGACAAAAATAAAAAAGCAAGCCTGGGTAAATCATTTGTCTCAAGAGTGTCAGTTATTTTCTTGGGGTGCCTGGATGGCTCAGTTGGTTAAGTGTCTGACTCTTGGTTTCTGCACAGGTCATGATCTCAAGGTCATGAGACTGAGCTCCGCCTCAGGCGCTGTGCTGAGTGCAGAGTCTGCTCAAGATTCTCTCTCTCTGGGGCACCTTAAGCATCTGCCTTCGGCTCAGGTCATGATCTCAGGGTCCTAGGATCGAGCCCTGCATCAGGCTCCCTGCTCAGCGGGGAGTCTGCTTCTCCCTCTGGCCCTCCCCACACTCATGCACATGCATGCACACTCTCGCTAATAAAATCTTTAAAAAAAAAAAAAAGATTCTCTCTCTACCCTCTCCCTCCCTTTCTGCTCCTTCCCACCACTCTCTACTCTCTCTCTCTCAAATAAATAAATAAAATCTTAAAAAAAAAAAGTGTCCATTATTTCTTAATGCACCCTGCTGGCTCCATGCCTTGGCCTTAGGGCTGGCAATAGTGAGGCAGGTTGGCCGGGGGACCCTGACCCAGAGCTCTTGTGCCATCCTGAGAGGGCAGGAGGGGCGTGCCAGCCAGTGATCCCTATAGGACTGTGCCAGGGCTCAGCCCAGACAAGGCCCAAACCTAAGGAAGCCCACAATACAGAAGCCCACTGGGATAGTTTTAGGGACAACTGTTGAGAAGGGCCGCACAGTTTCAGAGAGAAGAAAAACAAGACAGAGGACAGCTGCAGGGGCTTCCTGCTCAAAAGGAAAAAAAAAAAGAAAATGTTGATCTTAATTTGATTTAAAAAGAGAAAGAGGGAGAGGGATTGTCTAAGGGAAATGCCAGAATGAAGTGTGTAAACTGAGTCTTTGTAGAACCCAAAGACTTTGGTGGCAAGAGGAAAAATTACATATGGATAAAAAAACAAAACAAAAACTTGGGAACCTAAATATAGAGCACCTGGGACCTTGATAAAAAGAAAAAAAAATAATTAAAAATGTAATCATTTGGGGACACCTGGGTGGCTCAGTTAGGGGGCTGCCTTCGGCTCAGGTCACGATCTCAGGGTCCTGGGATCGAGTCCGGCATCAGGCTCCTTGCTCAATGGGGAGCCTGCTTCTCCCTCTGCCCCTCTCCCTGCTTGTGCACTCTCTCTCCCTGACAAATAAATGAATAAAATCTTTAAAAAAAAATGTAATCATGTGAATACATACATCAACTATGCATACAATATTCAACCCGAATTTCCCATTTGGCATCAGAACATTAACACTGAAAATTCATGGATTTAGTTAGTAATAGAACCGGACTAAGAAGGCTGGCTCCCAGGTCTTCCGACCTCCAGCCTCAGGCTCCTTGCTCTGTGTAATAGGCCCCTCAGGTCATCATCTCAGAGATAAACAACCCCTGGAGGGTTGAGCTGTGATCATTTACCAAAAACAATGCTTTAGAGAGGAAGAAGTACGGAATGCAGGAAAAAAAAAAAAAAGAAAGAAAGAAAAGAAGTCTAGGGCTTTTTAAAAGGTGCTTCCAAAAAAACTGATGGAATTTAGCATTTGTGGAAAATGTTGAATGGTAGATACAAAATCACAAGTGTATACACACACAACAGGGATAAATTTCAAGAATATCAAAATATACTGTTATTGAAAAGTCCTCAAGGACCAAATGGCGGGAAGCTTTTTAAAAATTTTATTTTGAAAGGATCTTATACTTACAGAAAAGTTGCAAAAATAGCAGAGCTCCTGTATACCCCTCAATCGGCTTCTGCCAATATCAACATCTTATACTATCACAGTCCATGTATCAAACTAAGAAATTAACATTAATACAATACTATTAACTGCACTATTTTTATTCATTTTCACATTTTATTCACATTTTATTAGTTTTTCAACTAATGCTCTTTTGTGTTGCAGGATCCAATCTAGGATCCCGCATTGCTTGTAGGTGTCATGTATCCTTACCCTCCAATCTGAAAATTCCTCAGTCTCTTCTTGTCTTGCATAACCCTGACACTTTTTAAAGAATACTGGTTGGTTATTTTGTACGACGTTCATCAATTTGAGTTTGCCTAAAGTTTTTTTATGATTAGATCAGGTCATGCATTTTTGGCAAGAATACCATGGAAGTCATAATGTCACCTTCTGTGATGGCTAATTTTATGTGTCCATGTGACTGGCCATGGAGTGCTAAGTTATTTGGCCAAACATAATTCTGGGTGTTTTTGTGAAGGTGCTTTGGATGAGGTTAACATTTAAGTGGCAGACTGAGTATTGCAGATTACCCTCTCTGATGTGGGTGGGCCTCATCCAATTAGTTGAAGGCCTTAAAAAAAGCGGGGGGGGGGGGCTGACTCTCCAGAGAGTAAGGGAGAATTCCTTCTGCCTTGAAAGAGGAACATGGGCTTTTTCCTGCCCTTGGACTCAAGCTAAAACATCAGCTCTTCCTGGGTGTTGAGCCTTTGGACTGGAACCACACCCTCAGCTCTCCTGGGTCTCCAGCGTGTGGACTCACCCTGCAGATCCTGTGACATGTCAGCCTCTCTAACTGCAGGAGCCAATTCCTTATACATTTTTATACTAAATACATACACCCCGAATATACACATATATATTTACATACATTCTATTGGTCTGTTTCTCTTAAGAAACCTGACTAATATACCTTCTTAGGGCATCCTATCAGAGGGTCCATAATGTCCATGTGTCTTATCACTGGTGATGTTAACCTTGACTATGTGGTAAAGGTGGTGCCCGCGAGGTTTCTTCGCTGTAGTGGTACTAATTTTCCTTTGCAACTAATAATCTTGGGTGAGATCTTTGGAAACAGTATAAGTATCATGTTTC